TGGGTGGGGCGCGGGCGGAGGGGTAGGGAGGAGCCTGCAATCACGGTGTGTGCCTTTGGGGTATGTGCCCTTGGCTGGAATCTAACCTGGGACCCTTCAGTCCACGGGTCTGTGCTCCCTCCACTGAGCCAAACTGCTTAGGGCAAAATACATGTAATTTTCAAAACTGAGCTAGCAACTGTTAAAGTGTATACGTATTTCTTTGGGACACCCCGTAAAATATAGAACTCAGGTAGTGCACTGAGATTATATATATATATACACATATGTATATTGCATATATATATGATCTATGAAATAGGTCCAGAAGTATTTACATTCATATAAAGCAAAGTATAGGATTACCACTGTAAATTATATACTTTTATTATTATGAGTCTTTTCATTTTAAAGCTGTTTAAAACAAGGAATAAAATGCAATAACCATCCCTGAAAATCAGTGGAAATACATTCCTCTCTCTGAGATTTTAAAAGTTCAAACATTCAGATAACATAGAAAGTGCAGGGAGCAGAGGACTCCAGCCCCTGCTCTGAGTGCAGTGGGAGCCCCTGGAGGCTGAGGAGAGATGTAAAGTGAGGGAGGCAGGAGCATTCGGGCTGTGGTGTGAAGCAGAGACTGAGGGGCCCCAGTGGAACCGGGACTCAGAGCGGGGGGTCCTGCGTTAATCAGAGTGAGATGCTGGAGGCGCGGACAGGCTGTCCAGGAAGTGTGGGCAAGTGGAAGCTTGTGAGCCCATTGGACACAGAGCCCAGGACTCCCAGGTGGCCAGGGCCAAGGGACGGACACTTAAGGTTACAGACTTTAGGGTGGTTTTCCATGTTGGAGTCAAAGGTGAAGAGACTCCCAAGCAGGCATTTCAGAGGAGGCTCTGGGGTCACCAGTGATGGTGGCTGCACCGGGACTCGGCCCTGGGGAGGCAGAGGTCTCATGTGGATTCTCCATCTTCCTCCAGGTCGTCATTTCTACCAGCTCCTTCTGGTGTCTCTCTGTCTGCACAACAGCCCGAAATGGTGAGGCCCCTGGCCTTCCATCTGCTGCTCCTCCCTGTCTACCTCACCTTGGTCCAGCTGCTCACACCCTCATCAGGTAGGGACCATCTGCATTGATGTGCCTGGAGCAGTTACCTATAATGCCCAGTCAGAACCTTGGGAGGCCCATCCAGACAGTACTTCTCTCAGGACTGAGTGCCTAAGTGTTTCTTACCTCACCCTCCCTACCTGGGATACCCCCATACCCTCTGGCCTCCAGCTTCCTCTGATGGAGCACCCCTTTCTGCTCACCAGCTGAGTTTGCTGTGATTGGACCCCCTGAGCCCATCCTGGCCGTGGTGGGTGAAGTTGCTGAGCTGCCCTGTCACCTGTTCCCAAAGATGAGTGCTGAGACCATGGAGCTGATGTGGCTGCGGCCAGGCCTCAGGCAGGTGGTGCGTGCATATGCACATGGCATCGAAGAAACAGAGATAGCAGAGTATCGAGGGAGAACGTCAGTTTTAAGAGAGGACATCACTGAGGGGAAGGCTGTCCTGCGGATTCACAAGGTCAGAGCATCTGACAGTGGAACCTACCAGTGTTATTTCCAAGATGATGATTTCCTTGCAAAAGCCCAGGTGGAGCTGAAGGTTGCAGGTGAGCCTGAGGTGGTTCTGAGCTCCAGGCAGTGGACCTGGGCCCCCCAGGTTCTCGCTGTTGTGGGTCCAGGGAGGCTGAGCTGCAGGGACAGCACCTGTGCTGCCATGTCCTCCAACCAAAGGCCCCAGGATCACTCCTGCAGTTGAACAAGTTGAGTTTAGTACTAGGTGCAGTGAGGAGAACACACAGGTGTGGAAACATGGGGTGTCCCCATGAGGGGGTGTCAGGGAGACTAGGTATAACTTTGGGCTGAAAGGGGTCTAGGGGAGGGTTTATGGAAGAAGGGCTTTGCTCTGGTTCAGATGCTGTCAGGAGGGTGTGGGGGTGACTGGTCACTCACACCTAGGACAGGGGGTGATTGCTCGTTGCTGTGATCTGGACACTGTTCATGTTTTATTCTATGTTCAGATCTGATGACTCAGTGGTGTTGTTTTTTCCTTTTTCTATCACTGTGACAAAGCATCCTTGTCTGATGCTGCTGTTCCATGAAATTGTTCATGTCCAACATCATTTCTCTTTCTCCGGGCACAGCCCTGCCTTGCACAGAAAGGAAGGAAGGTGGGGGTGGGAGGTCCTGGCTTTCTCCTTGCAGGGCCTCCTCAGCCAACTACAGTCTCTTCCTGAGACCACAGCTCCTGTTAA